AAAACGAGACGTTTTTACTAAAACTATTAAACACGTTTTCTAAACATGAATACTAAATTTGAAAAGAAAACGAAGAAAAAACTTTTAACCTCTTCCTTGAAAGAACGACCAGCAGACGCCTGTTGTTTTTTCGGACCCTTGTTTCTTTAGCCCTGAGCACTACCTTGAAGTACAGATTTCATTTTGTTTCAGGTTATTCTTGCCCAACCACTTTCCGAAAAATTCCTGCGGTTTCCCTCGAAAATAAGCAGTCTCGGGGTCCGCTGCCATCATGTCAGCCGCGCGAGGAATGACGTACTTCGCAAAAACTTGGACAAGCTAGTTTCGATTTGCCCCGCTCCCTGCCAAAAGGGATAGGACCGTTTTAAAGAAATCCCCACCCCCTAGCCCGAAGGACTGGACTTGTCCCTGGGAGTGCCCGGGCGGGGATGGTAGCAGGGAAAATTGAACCCTGCATAAACAAAATAGGTTATAAACTGAAATGGCTCTAGAAGCGAACTGAAAGTAAAAGACACAACACAAACGAAAGGTCAGTCATTTTTATTTCGAAACTTTTTAAAGAGCGGAATTTAGTACAACGAACGCCCACATGGTCTGGGCTGCCTGTGTCAATAGGGGAAATTTGCTCAACGCTGATTGGTTACGTTTCTTACCTGAGTTGAACATTGAAAATCTTGTTTTTGAGCAGACAGTTTTATTTTTGGAATCCTTAGTAGATGAGTTGAGGAAACCGCCTGCCAACCTTTGGAGTCCGTTCTAACCAGTGCCAGCTTTGCGATAAATGAAAGGCCTTCCCGACTTAAGGATTTTCTCGAACTCACGAGGAAGACGGCAATTAGCTTGTTCGACATCTTTAATATCATTCTGGACTTATGGTGAAAAAGCTCTTCTTCGCACGGTCATATCTTCACCATGTAATTTAAAACTTTTGAAAGAAAAGGAATGGGAAAACTCGCGTCCAAATGACTTGTTCAAAATTGATTGGACTTGAAAACTGTGGAGAGGTTCGGTGATGCATGGACAGGTTAGTTGAAGTTTTTTCCGTAGAAAAGTAAAACCACTTTAAAAAAACATTTCATGTTTATATCCCTTCAAAAACGGCAAAATTTATACTGTCGTATAAGTTAAAACTTGAATTCAACTGGCCTTGTTTTTTTTTTAATTCAACTTCAACTGGCCTTGTTTTTCAAGAAAATTGTAAGATTACATTTGTAAGATTATCAACTTCCTTTATGCTGTAAGAAAGGGTTTTTTATTTCCTTCAAAGAAAACTTGATTTTAAGCAGCAGATTAGACAAAGAAGGCTAAATTCCACATGAATTCGGAAAATCTTACGATATTTGCCTGCAGAATGTCTTTGCGCGAGCATTCGGAGAAAACTCGTCTTCAGAGCAGCGTTTGTGACGAAATACGTTTCCATAGCCATTCAAAGAAAACAATCATTTCGCTTCAGCTTTTCGTACGTGTGTACGTACTTTTGGTGCGGAGCAGTTTTTGATATTTTAAAAGTGACTTTTAGAAAAAAAAACGGCGAGAAGCAAAAACAAACAACAAAAAGTCAGTAACCAGTTGAGAAATCAGTCGTCTTGTGAAAATCCCTGTGACGATCACGATGGCTTCGGCGAGCGTAAAGTGTGTAAAGCAATTATGCAAGGATGTCGTTAGACAAATGAATGAGGAGTACAGGATGCAAACAGAGGACACCAAGGTCTTGAATGTTCCAGAGGAAGCAGAGTTGGATGAAGGCAGTTATAATGGTGAGGATTCCTGGGACGCTTTAGTAGAGTTATACAAGAAAGAAAATGAAAAGCTAAAGGACCAGCTTGCTCTAATGAAGAAAGATCTTGAAGAAGTTCACAGCGAGAATGAAAGTTTTCAAACTGAAGTTGAAGCTTTAAGACTTGAACTAAAGCGTCGCAATTCTAATGAAGAATACAGAGAAAGAGCATTTACAAATCTAAGAAAAGCCATCAAGAAAAAAGACAAACAGTTAAAGAGTTTGGAAGATGAACTGAACTATACGCAGATGGATAAAAACTACTACTTGTACCAGATTGAACTGTTAGAGGATAAGCTGAAAGAAACCAAAGAAAAGAATGCTGATTTACAATTTGAATGTGACGAACTGGGGGAGATGGTTAAGGAGTTAAAGAAAATCAAGGAAGATGAAAACAACTTTGCGCAGATGGATAAGAACTATTACTTGCATCAAATCGAACTGTTAGAGCACGAACTGAAAGAAAGAAAAGAAAGCAACGACGATTTACAATTTGAATGTGACGAACTGAAGGAGACTTTTGAGGAGTTAAAGGAAATGAAGGAAGCTGAAGACAACTTCGCGCAAATGGATAGGAACTATTACTTGTATCAAATCGAACTGTTAGAGAACAAACTGAAAGAAAGCAAAGAAAAGAATGAAGATTTACAATTTGAATGTGACGAACTGAAGGAGACTTTTGAGGAGTTCAAAGAAATAAAGGCGGATGAAAACAACTTCGCGCAGATGGATAAGAACTATTACTTGTATCAAATCGAACTGTTAGAGGAGAAGCTGAGAGAAAGCAAAGAAAACAACGAAGTTCTGCAATTTGAATGTGACGAAGTGAGGGAGACGTTTAAGGAGTTAAAGGCAATGAAGGAAGCTGAAAACAATTTCGCCCAAATGGATAAGAACTATTACTTGTATCAAATCGAACTGTTGGAGGAGAAGCTGAAAGAAAGAAAAGAAAGCAACGAAGTTCTGCAATTTGAATGTGACGAAATGAGGGAGACTTTTAAGGAGTTCAAAGAAATAAAGGAGGATGAAAACAACTTCTTGCAGATGAATAAGAACTTTTACTTGTATCAAATCGAACTATCGGAGGATAGGCTGAGAGAAAGCAAAGAAAGCAACGATAATTTTCCTCTAGTTTGCGCATTAATTTCAAACCATCCTATTTTCTTAGTTTTTAAATAAGCAAAGCTTTACACTATTTTGGTTGCAGATATTTTAAGAACATAACTGACAGTAAACTAAACTAAAAATGAATCGAGTTTGAATGTGTGTTTAATATTCATGTTATATAAAAATTGTGAGAAATATTTTTCGCAAACTTCGGCGTAGTAATGAAATTGTATCATATAAGTGGAATTAAGTTTAAATAACATTGAGAAAGTTGTTTATAAGCTTTTGTCTGTGTATTGCGTTTAGGAAATATTGCCTCGTTTGGGAGCCCGTTATGGGCTAATTGCCATTTGCACAGCTCCCATTGTCCCACAAAACTTTGCTTAACCTTTGTTTTTGATGTCTCCGGTGTATTGTAGCGGTCTCTGTGAAAACGAGTACCACACTGTCAAGAAGCTAGGACAGCTAGCAAAAAGTTTCCCAGAAGTCTTTTTAAAAATCATCTTTCGTTTCACGTCTCAGAAATTTTCCCTGGAGGGGAGGGCGGGTGGGGAACTCCCATATATCATATAAAAGTGACGTGATGCTCGTCGTCTCGCTTAGGGATTGAATGAATTTTTACCAAAGGTATCGTTTAAGGATGTGCATAAAGAACTATTTACATAAAAAGAAACAAATACCGTCGAACTTTGTCTCCATTAGCGGTCAAATAGCTCAGCTACACCCAACCTCGTTCCAAGGAAGTTCCAAGGGCTTTTTCCTCAGCCTCGTACCCAGGCCTGTTCGCGCTATCCGAGTGACCAGAGGAGGCTTGGAACCGAGCGCGATAGGCGAATTTCCCCGACAAGCTTGACAGGTGACGTCACATCCGGAATCGCCGAGGACGACTGGGAACGAGGCTGCTTTTTCCTTAGAAAATGGGAGGAGCGCCCTGTGGACGAGCCGGTTGAGCTACGCACAGTTTGTTTCCCAAAACCTAGCTTGACAGGTGACGTCACATCCGCAATCGCCGAGGACGACTGGGAACGAGGCTGCTTTTTCCTTAGAAAATGGGAGGAGCGCCCTGTGGACGAGCCGGTTGAGCTACGCACAGTTTGTTTCCCAAAACCCAACTTTCCGACGAGCATCCTTGTCTATAATGTTCATATTAGTGTCTCCACGGGGAACCACCGATTACCTAACAAGCGAAGAAAAAACGTTAAGGACGAGGTTGCCCATCACTCTCCTGCTTCCTGGCTGCTTCCTTGGGCTACTTGGGCTGCTAATATGCCGCCAGAAACTTTCTGAGGGATTGCGAACATTTTACGTTTTCCTTTGCCCCTGTACGGCGTCCTTTAGGCCTTCTTGGTCGATGCATTTCGGTGACATAGCCGTATGCAGGCCACAAGCGCATGAGGAACAAGCGCAGAAATTCCACACTGATGACCTGCCACTTCCCAGATCTGGGTCGTGCTTCTGATTGTCTGGAACAAATTTTTCACACGGTAGGACCAGTCAAAAGAATTACCCAGATCTGGGTAGTGACGTTCATTAGTATGGAATTTCCCCGCTGTCTCCGCCCGTTTCTCAGGCGTCCCCCGTCACGAGGAAACCATGTACCAATGGTGGCGCCTCCCGACTGTAAAATCAGCCTTGCTTCTTTTGTTCGATATTTTAATTTATAGCTGATTAGATCCTTTATTAGGATCCAGTCCTTCTATTTTGTAAAGCTGCTCCTTGCCTCCAAAATTGAATACACAAAACGACGGCAGTTCCCTGCCTCGTCGTGAGAGACCTCTGCGAGCAGGGAACGACGGCGGCTGTTTTCTCAGGCTAACGACGCTCAGACCACGTGATCCGAAACGGTAACCGATCGATCTTTTTTCGCGCTGACCGAGAGCAAGAGAGAATATTGTAGCAGCTCATTCTCCCTTGCCGAGAGGCCGGCACAGGTTCCCTGTGAGGGATAGACTACAAGTAGTCCTGATTTTTCCCCAAGGATAGTAGAGCGAACGAAACGCGAGCGCGCGTGAAAAATGGGGACTACTCGTAGTCCATGTGAGGGATAATCCACATCAGCGTATTTGAACAACCTACTGCAGTCGGGCACGCGCATTCGATCGGACGCTGTTGCTAAGTTACGCGGTTTGTGAGAAAGTCATGGCTTCCCGGCTTGTTGTTTGTCTTGTTTTTGTTAAGAGATTCTACGACTGGAACGGTTTTCAATCGGCAAATGGCCTTTGATGTTTCAAATAAGGACTTTCCGAGGACTCCGGGGAGAGGAGCAATATCGAAGACATGGCAAAAGTCGAAATTTGAAAAACAACGCGAAGAAGAAGTGATTCGCAATGCCCACGAAAGAGGATATTTGAAGGCTCCAACTGTTGGTGGTATTTGGGACAGCATAGGTGAAAAATGCGATCTTGGAGAAATCAGCTACCTAAATATGAGTGGGATATGTCTTCATACCGTGAAAACGATTGACTTATGTACAAGACTTCGAATCTGCGTGCTACATTCCAACTACATTTCGACGTTTGATTCCCTCGCTTGTTGTCGCGAGCTTGTTTACATGGATTTGCACAATAACCAGGTGAGTTTGAAAATGTGATTTAATGTTGTGAGTTAAGTTAAAAAAATAACTTTTCCTATTAAACTCTCTGAAATACTGCATTAAAAAGCTGATGAAACGTTGCTATCTATGTGATGCTGGCATTTCCTGATCTTGTGTCGGATTAAAATTGGTTAAATAATTAACACAGCACCGTTAATTTGTAATGAAATGGTTCGATTTTCAATACCGGCTGTAAACGTACGGAAGCATGCTTGGGTATATATATTTTTTCTTTATTCAAAGGACAAATGTACCAAATGTGCAGCTGCAAGTGTCGTGTTGGGGATAAGCCGGGACCTACTGCATTGGTCTCAGAAACTTTTGAGCAGATACAAAAGCTCAGAAACTTCTTGAAAACTTACATTTATTTGTGTGTTTCTTTGCTCTCATTGTAGGAAAATATTGATGACAACTGATGTGCTAACAGTGCTATTTATTTGCTAGATTGCCAAAGTGCCTGGTCACAAGTTTTGGGCATCTCTTACTGAACTCAAAGTTGTATTTCTTCATGACAACAGCATTTCAAAGCTTGATAATGTACATTACATGGCAGCATCCCCAAGCATCTCTATTCTGACACTGTATGACACTCCGCTTAGTCTAAAACCCAACTACAGGCATCACCTGGTGAACAGTCTGTGGTCATTGAAATCTCTTGATAACATTGTCATCTCTGATGAAGAAATAATTGAGGATTCATCATTTGGTGGTTCCTTCTCAGCTTTGCAGCCAAGTTTTTTTATGAAGTCATCATGTTCTCTAACAAAGGTAAGGTGATTTAAATTTTGTTAGTGTCTTCTCGTTGGTGGACTCTTATAGCCTGCTTCCTTTATCCCACCAAGGGAGGGGGGGATACTCCCATACATTACCTATACGGGTATGTGCCGCCCAACGGGGTCATGATTTTGAAGCTCCTGATTTAGAATGGGGTATCCATTTCAGAGGCGTTTTCTAGAACAGGGTATAAAAAATTGTGGATCACGGCTTTATCTTCTGCTTAAAGTTGTTGCTGATTATGAAGAAGCATTTATTTGATGTATAAGTCGAACAAATAAAGAAATATCTTTTTAAAAAAACAGGGCTATTTCAATTTACAAACTTTCTAGAATGGAGTATAAAAAATTGGCCCATTTCGAGACCGGGGTATCAGTTTTACGGCGAATTCTAAAACGGGGTATAAAAAATCAGCCCATTTCTAGAACGGGGTATCAATTTTAAGGGAAATTTCTTTTTAGAACAGGGTGCCAATTTGGAGTCCCGGGAGGCACATACCCACCCAAAAAATACCCAAGTGCCCCCCTCCCCCCCCTCCCCCCGGGCCACCAACCTAACTGCAAAATAACCGCCAGTATTGCCTGGGATACCATTCCAAGATGAGCAAAGAAGACACTGCCAACATTGGTTATCACAGGGTTTTGCTACTTTGGTTGATTTACTTTGCCGAGATTGCAACTCCACAATATCTGGTGGTATTAAGAACACCCTGTGATGACTCTTGTTGCTGCTGGTGCGATGTTAGATTGGTATCCTTATCTGTCAGAAAAGTTTAGCAGGCAGTGCTGGCAGCTAATTGTTGCAGGTAGGCTTTTGTACAGTTGGTGCCAAAAGTGTGTAGTTGTCTTCGAGAGAATTGAATTTGTACTCATTATTAACATTATTTGTATTTATACATCCTGGATAAAGGCTTTTTTCGAGAGGCACTTTACAAAGAAAAAAACTAAAACCGGGCCAAAAAACACAAAACAAAAACAAACAAACCAACAAGAAAGAATATTGTATTTACTGTACTTGTTGAGGGTGACTGTAAAAGTAAATGTGGCTAACTGTTACTGTGGTTCTTGTTTAGGAAAACACATATGAAGAAGCCATAAGAGAGGTTAACAGGCTTATAGCTGTAGTGAATGGTATCCAGGCTAAGTACTGTCCTGTTCTGATAATCCAGCGTTGTATCAGAGGATATTTGGCAAGAATAAGATTTAAATTTATCCAGGATTTGAGATTGTGGTAAGAGCTGTTAACCAGTGCAAGTTTTTTGCTTTCAAGTTGTGATAACCATGAAAACCAGGATGATTTCTGAAATGTTGTGCCCAATCAAGGAAAATAAAGTTAACTATTAACTTAATGTAAGATGAAAACACTACAAGCACTATGGTCTAATCAGATTCAGCATGCCCCCATAAATTTTGTTGATGAATTCATTTGATTGTCTTAAAAATTGTTCTTTTTATTTCATCGTGGAACTCAGAAACTCGAGATAATCATTTTGGTAGCTGTTGTGGTCATTTCCTTCCAACTTTTTTGTGTTTCAGTGGTTAGGGTATCCAAATACATGTAAATTCGTTTCATCAAGAAGCATTTGAAGTAGAAAAAGTTATTCTGCCCAGGAGGAAAGCCCAGTGTTGAAGCACCACTAATTTGAAGTAAATGATATTATTCATGGATTGACTGGGTACAAATGTTGGCCTAAACACCAACCCCCCCCCCCCCCCCCCCGGGGGGGGGGTGGTCCCCGCCAGGCCCGGCTTTTTTTTTTTTTTTTTTTTTATACTTTCGCAAAAAAACAAAAACAAAAAAAAAAAAAAAAAGGTGGAAGCCCCACAAAAAAAGGGGGGGAAAAAAAGGCGGCGCGTTAAAAAAAAAAAAAAAAAAAAATTTCAAAAACCCAGCCACAAAAAAAAAAAACAAAAACAAAAAAAAAAAAAAAAAAGAAGGGAAGTAAAAATATTTTTTCCAAGTCCAATTAAAATTTTTGTTTGGGGAAAGCTTTTTTATATTTCCTTTGCGATTTTGAAATACTGGTTTTTTTATAAAAAAAACTTTTTTTTATTGTTTTTTTTTTAATATTTTGGAAATTTACTTTTTTCTTTTCATTATGTAATTTAAAATCAGTTTGGTGTTGTTATTGTGTTTTNTTCTTGACAGGGCTGCAGTATCTATCCAGCGGTTCTATCGTCATTACAAAGGTTTCACTGAGGGGGGTACCCTGCCACCTCCCACGTCCCCAGCTCCCAGCCGCTCCTCCACGGCCTTGACTCGTTTTGATTACGAGGCTTATTTGCATGGCGCGAAACCAGCGTACCCCAGTAGCCCTCGAGGTTCCTCGGGAAAAGTTTTAAGAAGAACCAGGAGTCGAAACGTGTCAATCACGGTGGAACCAATCAGTAGCATTGTTGAGGAAGGTAATGGAAGAACTGAGAGCAGGGTGACTACATCTCCTGTGGGGGATATCGAGCCGACAAGAAAGGAAAGTTTTCCTGTTAGAATCACCACAAGAATTACGTTGAACCTGAAGAGGCTGGAAACGAGTACTTCTGACATCATCAGGGCGCAAGAGGAGGCCGTGAGCGTTCAGAGGAACCTGGGTTTAGTTGGTATAAGATCTAAGAAAAGTATGAGTGAAAGCCGTGAGTCAATGCGGATTAAATTGGCTACAAGGAATAGAATCAGGGCGAAGAGCAGAGAACTGAAAAAAGAGGAGGAGAGAATAGGAAACAAGGATAGAAAACAGAAGAAAAGGGAGCGTATTGGAAAGTACTATGCTGTGAATGTGTTTTTGGGGCGGGTTGTTGATACGCATCCCCGCACCGAGAGCCAACCGATTGAGACCGAACGAGATCCGAACAGGCTTCGGTTCAGGTTATCGGGATTTCGTCCTCCGATTCAGAAAGTAGATCCTTTACGCGAACTGCTGATTTCGAGGCAAGAAGCGGGAAAGGATGTAAGAGAAGCCGCGAGGGAAATAGAAAAGAAAGCCGCGGAGGAGCCCAGAAAAATTGCCGTCAAGAGACATACGGTTACTACGGACCAGAGGTTGTTTATCCGTACTCATGGCACAATGGGATTGGCGTGTTTACGGGCTGTACAGCATGCGTACAGAGAAAGAGAACGCGCTGATGCAGTGTCTTCCAAGGCTAACACCGTGGCGCAGCTCAGGGAAGACAGAGAACAAGCTAAAGAACGTGTCAAGGTTTTTAAACAGGAATACAAGGAAGCGTCGCTAAGAAGAAGGGTTCGGGATGGTGTAAGAACTGCTGAAGCATTAAAGGAACGACAAGCTAAGGAAGTTATTGAACACGAGCGGCTCTCAACCGCCAGAGCTGTCACGGCAGAGCAGGCGAAATCTCGACGTGCAGAGCTTGCCTTTATAACAGACTTCAACTGCCAGCATACGTCTATTTCTAATGCGCTGCAGCGTCATGACAGAGTCTCACACAGAGACGAGCGGGCTCAAGAAATTGAAGACTTTGTCCGAAAAGAAAAGGAAGTCACCGAAGACCAACAAGTTTTGGTGCGCCGCTACATGGAACACAGGCAGCTACTGCGTCAGGCGGAAACCGCCATGGCGCGCGCTGATCTGGACTCGCATTTGACACGCGAAGCCAATCAGCGCAAAGCGGCGGCAAAAGAACGCGTTGCGCAGATAAAAGCGCGAAATCGGGAGACAGTCGAGTACTTCTCTCCACCGTTGACGCATGCACCAGCTAAGCTTCCTCCACTGGCTGTTGTTTCTCCAGAGCAAATGGACGTATGGAATGATTTGGAGAAATTTGATTGGACGCCTGCAAGACACGATCGTTCGTATTCTGAGCCTTACAATAGAGTGATGTCGTCAAGGAGACAGCGCATGTATTCTTTGGAGCCTACATTTGGGGTCGCTTAATCAAAAAGAAATACTTCTTCATTTCAGAAATGTTCAAGGGTATTCTGTTGCGTAACTTTCATAAAACAAAGAAAGATGTTTAATCCTCTCGAACCTTGTTCGCTAAACCAGAGCTACATTTTTACAGTGTGTCAAGTTGAAAATTTGCGAGTTTCAAATGAAGAAGTGCACATTTTGTTAAGTAAGATTATTGAAATAAGCAAATTCGTAAGGGAAAGAAACGTCTTTTCAAATTGCTGAAGCCCGATACGGTTCATTGAAAACTAATGAGATGTTGTAAAAGTGAATTATGTTCTGACGTTCTGTTTTCTTTCTTCCACCAAATAGGTTGGTAATAATGATGAATTGTCTTAAGAGACCTAATTTAACCTAAAAATCTATTTGAAATTTCATATTACTGGGTTATTAATTTATGCTTTACAGTAGATTCTATTGTAATATATTTCAAAAAGTTCACCTAGTCAAGAGTTCGTTCTATTTGATTGTATATGAAAAAGAATAAGTATGAAAAATATGTATGTGGCTGAATGGCCATTTTGGGCAGGGTTTCTACAGAGACTGGGTCGGCATTGTGTCGAACTTCATTATTGGATTGTTTCTGGATTACGACTACGCGAACGAGGTTTTGTAGCCTGCAAAAACACAAATGCATAATTTTTCCTGCTCCCTTCCCCGTCGCGCGTGTCCCGGGCTCCTCGCTCGCTTCGCGCCTGCCTTCGTTCGGCTGAAAAATACTGGTTTTTCTGCAGGCTTGACTGCTGGAGATTTTCCGCGAGCTTGAGCCAGCGTCATTTTGGCGGGAAAACGCAATACTGGTTATCATTCTATTACGGGTTTTGGAAAGAGAACGAGTTATCCATTGCGTTCAGGAGAGGTCTTTTATTACCTCCTCCAATAAAAATACCAAGCTAACTTTCCGTGTTGAAAAAAGAAGAGAAAAATGAAGCTTTTCGGGGTCTCTATCTTCTCGTCCTTGAATCTAACAGTCTCTATTGGTTATTAAGAAGTTGCGCATGAAACTAAACGGGTCGGAATTGGTCCCCCAAAGCAGTCCCATAATGAAATTCGACGCTACATAGATCCAGTCTTGTGCTCATAAAGTTGGCTTTTAATTTTGAGGGCATCCATCCTAAAGCAGGGTATCATTTTTACCGTAGATTGTTGGCGCTGTGTTTCCCGTGTGATCCTTAGATACGGCACCGGTATTATATCAGCTAAAATTCAAGCGCGTAATTGCACAGCTACATGAGAAAAATCATCTTGGTAATACTGAACTTAACCTTAGAGTAGTAGGAAAGCGATTTACTGCGCTTTTCAAAAACACGCGAACTCCGAATTTCAAAAGCCAACCGACGTTTGCGTCTTTCGCTGCCGTCAATCATCATAGCGGAGCTCTTACGAAACAGAACTTTACTTAAACGGGTTCAAAAAGTCATGGTTTGTGATCTGTGATTGGTTGATTTGGATCCTTTTTGTGGGTTCCTTCAAAGTTCGTTGCTTGTGATCGTAATTATGATTGACGGCAGCGAAAAAACGCAATTGTGACGGCGGGTTTTGAACTTAAGAGTTCTTTGACTCATATCCAGTCGTCACTGATCAAATCTGGGAAGATGTTGATGCCCGCAAAGGCGCTTGGGAAGGAGGCAAAAACTGTCTGTTGCCGTTTTTCTTCCTTCCTTCCCTTGACGCAACACGAACTCGCTTAAACCTTCCCATCAACCATTGCGCAAACAAGAGAAGCGGCTGGGTACGAGTTTGTAGTTTTCGGGTGTTTGTTAAAAGCGCTGTAAGGAAGATTTGTGTGTTTCCATTAAATTTGAGGTTTGGGCCTTAAATAGCGTGTTACATGGTGCCTACAATCTTGAAAAGGACTTGGATTTTAGTAGTCGTCTTGAAAAGTCCTTGAATTTGGTTACATGTAAGGTCATTGAAAAGTACTTGCAATTGATTTCTTTATTAGGTCTTGAAATATCCTTGAAATTCACTGATTGTTTACGCCATGCACCATTTTCTGTGCAATTTGATTATTTCGCCGAGGAAAATTTGGGACATCCTCGGTGTAAGAACCTTATGCATGAACAAAAGTTTGTTTCTGTTTCTTTATTTCAAATGCTATTTCTGTACCTCAGACGCAGCTCCAAGTCATACCCAGTGACTGTTGCACTCTTGCAAAGCGTCATTGCCGAAAATCAACCATGCCTGAAGAAGTAAAAAATTGTAAAAAGCTAATAATAGATGTTCAAAAGAGAGTTAAACAATTCCGATTTATTGAACAAATCTTAGTCCTTGAAAGCTTTAAGTTGTCCTTCAAAAGTCCCTGAAGTTTGCTTGTCTGAAGTTGTACGAACCATGGTGTTTACTTTTGTTTGTCTCATCCTTAAATTAAATAGAGTCAGCAAGTGATCGACGATTCTGTATGACCCACGTACGAGAAACTTATCACATTTGCAAATTCTCGTGAAAAGTTGATCATGTCGGGTAGATGGAAAATACTGAGGGCGGATCATTTCGAGGGGTGTACAGGCTACTTTCATTATAACGAAGCAGTAAAAAGAGCAAGGCTGACTTTGAGAATAACAGCCGATGAGAATGTATTTTTCCATTATTTTGTCTGGCATGGCCTGAATTTTTTAGGGATTGACTTAACCTGCCATCAGGCGTTTTTTTGAGACTGAGAGGGAGGGAACGATCGCGGTTTAGGAGTGACGAAGAAGAAGGCAGGTCTTGCCTGACAAAGTATTGGAAAAATACATTCTCATTGCTAGTCAGCATTGCTCTCTTTCTGCTTAACAAGCATGGCCCTAATTAAATATATAAATTTGCACAATGACAACAAGATTTCAAGGAAATAGAGCGATAACTGCTCTGAATGACGTTTACAAGCAAGGCTAGTTGCTCACGAAAGACGAAAACAGAGGGAAAAAAGCGATTCCAGGCCTCTCTCAGCCTGTTGTGTCAAGATGAAGAAAACAACTCGCTGGGGATAAAGTTGCATTTTTTTAATTGGTTCGAAGTATTAATTCTGGAATGATACAAAACGATTGTCACTAGGCTGATTTCTCTCTGTGACTTATTACTCAATTATAAGAGCAAGGAATGTACATATGGCTGAACAATATTCCTATCAATATTTACACTGTGGATGTGAACATTTGCCAGTCCCATTCTTGTACAATTTGCAGCTTTCGCGACAAGACCATTAAGGTTATAAATTAGTCGAGTTCTATTTAATTGAAAAATAAATTATAGCACAGGATGCTATTAACCGCTCTCACAGCCAGGCGCATGATCCATGATGCCATCTTTAATAGGGGGATTTATCTAAGTTTCTCAGAATGGGCTATTACAGCCCAGTCCCCAGGCGTTCTCTTCGCGCGTAGTCTGGGAAAGGGTGGCCGAGGGCTCTGAGCGCCTCATTCGGTGAGACGTCACAGCTCACAGTAGAGTTCTGGGCCCGGTTGCTCGAAAGATATATAGCGCTATCCAATGGATAAATAACTATCCACTGGATAACGCAATTGATTTCCCTAATACTTATCCGCTGGATAGTGATTATCCAAAACAACCGGAGCCAGGATGAGCACGCATAAAAAGTTAAATTTATTTTCCCATCGGCTGTACCTTTTGGGATCAGTGTAAGATTCTGGTAAACTGGCTACCTACCCCTCCCCTAAAACCTACATTTTGCCCGAAGGAAGAATTTAGCATTAAAGTTAAGTTAGGGGAGGGGTAGGTGGGGCAGTTAGCCACATCTCGTGCTGATCCAAAATATTACGTACGTTTTGATTTAAGTTGAGATAATTTGTATGAAGACAGTGCACGTTATTGGGACTTAAAATCCCTAACTATCTCAAAATACTGTGTTGGATCAGGCGATGGTGCGTTTTTTTTTTATTGGGACTGGCTAAATATTAGAGGTAGAGTATTTATATTTTTCAATACCACCCGTCGTTTATATAATTTGAAATAAACTTCTAAAATATATATTTATAACATCTAATTAACTATACTCTGCAGTCTAACTGCAACTAAATATTTCTATTCTCATACTTTATATTTTGCGAAGGAAATTTTTTCCTCCAGCACGTTGGATCGCTGACACATGACTAAGATGTATGAGCAAACGCTTAAACAAAAATTGGGATAACTAATGGCCATGAATACCGTAAATCTTTGCTTTATCGCAAGGGCTCTCATATCCGATTAGAAAAACGATTACTTACTAAATCATTACGCGGGTGTGTTTTCTTTGGGCGTAGAATTTGGCCATTTCGAATTTGAAGGAACCTGAAACAATCTAATCGGACGTGAGGGCCCCCTGTGCTTTGTCAAAGTGCACACTTGAGTACCTTAATTCCAGCTTTTTAAAAAACAATACTGCCAAAAGTTTTAAAAAATATCCAACTTATCAACTTTGTCAGGTACATAACGCCTTACGGCAGAGAGGGCTAATTGAACTCGCCTTCAGTTCCAATTTCTGACCATTCACAGATATTATTTTCCTTTAGCACTATTTTAGCCAGAGCACCGCGACGCCGCCACTGGGTTCCCTGTGAAATGACGTCTGAGGAACGAGCGCAGAATTCCATACTGATGAGCGTCACTCACCAGATCAGGGTAGTGCCTGATTGGTTGAAGATTTCGCGGGGAAACAAGTGATGGCCGTCACGAACCTCGGCTGTTTTCTTAGGCTAACATTAATCAACAGCTCACAGTCAACACAGCTAAAACCTAAGCCCGTTTTTGTTTCTTGTTCTCTGACTAATTTCCGTTATGGGTTCGTCAACTGTTTCTTATTTTAGACATCACCCCTTCGCTTTCACTTTTTCTTCTTAGGGAAACGACTTGCCCTCATTCAATGCACTAACAATGATATTCTTTTCCGCCATTTCGTATTCCTTGAATTATCTAAAAATCTTGATTCTATAATTACTTTAACAAAGGGCGCCCACATTTTATTCAAACCGCGTCGGAGGATTGTAGGCTACTGACGTTTCTCGAGAGACGTGAATGGCGAAAAAAACCTCCGCACGGTTGCAAATGTTTTTCAAACTACTGCGACTGTTTTTAGTGTATTTAACATAGACAATGAAATTTTTGTTACGTCTCATAAAGTTTGTTGGGGTGTTATAACAGGTTCAAAAAGTCTGCGATAAATTGAAGCGTTTGTAAAAATGTTTGCTAAAAAGTGCCTAGTTCAGTTTCAGACGAAACGATTCGGGAAAAACCCAGTCAAACGCCTGTGGCCGGCTAACTCTGCTTGGGTACCCTACAAGGAAACCTGATCACAGGCTAGTTCAAAGGAATATTTTTTTCGCGGTATTTTTTGTAAGGCCTTACGTTCAAGATGGCATACATGTAGGTTACGTGCAACAGCTGAGGCCAACCTATTTTTGAAACTCCAACGACGTTTTCAAGCTCAATGCTTTCTGCCTTGAATTTACTCAGTGTATCACTGGAATCAGCTCGGCT